CGTTTTCAACCTCTTTTCTTAGTAACGGCAACCAGGTACGATCCATTTCCAAAGAGCTGTTCGAAATACACTTGTTATTATTTTAGGATATTTTTAGATAAAGAGTTTCAACCTGCTAAAAAAATATATGCGGTTTTTCTCAATTTTATAATTTTTCCATGAGTTTCTTTNACGAAAAACCTTAAGAATGTAATAGTCATAATTGAACAAAACAATTTTATGACCTTAAGACTCCTTTTCGAAGGTTTTCATAAAAAATACAAAATACAGTAAAACATACGTATTATACGAGGAGCCTTCAAATATTTGATTTTGAGACAAGAGTAAAGTACTCTTATTTTGAAAAATCTCGGAAAATGTTATTTCTCGAGATTTCTTCAAACGAACCAGAGAAATGTAGGGATCCCTTATACCCTTACTGAAATTAATTTGTAATTTAACTGTGAAATTCAATGAAAAAAGAATCCTGGTAGTCTTTCAGTATAATTTATATTGGTTTTCATATTAATTCCAACAGATAGGATATCACTTTATGTTGACCCAGTAAACACTCTGGGAGATAAGTTAATAGTTTGATTGATCTTATTTAATCCAATGATTTATTTTCAATCGGATGAAGGTTCATTTATTGATTTTCAATTGTATTCAAAAATGTTGTTATCATCAATTGAATGATTTTTGGGTTATCTCTCGCATCTTTGCTTTCTAGAAAGATGAACATTTTTGTAGATATAAATCTCGTAGGGGGTATTATTTATTTTCACTGAATAAAACATTGACAGAAGATTATGAAAAGCTTTTGGGCAGAAGCGACATCTATGATACAGAGAAAAGACTCAATCCTCGATGAGAGGCTCCCCAAGGCGGTCAGTTTCAAAGCCAACCTTTGACGACTATCGCCGAAACGAGACTTGTCTTCTGTTTTTCACTGTAGCTTTCGCTGCAACACATCTAGTTGAAACCACAGCCAAAAGACACCAACAGATACTGCTGTTTCGCCTCGTCACAGAGCCCATCAGTGTGGCTAAGCTTAATCAGGAATACATTGCTGAACTCAACTGTCCTTAGAAAATAAGCCTCAGTAAGTAGAGGTAATGTCATCTCCCCTTTCGAACTCAATCCATGAATGTTTTAACTAGTTGTCTTGCATATATTTTGCACTGAGTCTTCTGTCGCTCCCGTAGATGGTATTTTCGTAAGTAGAGATGATGGCATTGCCTTTACTTACTCAGGCATTTCCATTAAGGACAGTGGAGTCAATTCTTGGTTCAGCCCAGTCCCACTGATGAGATCTATGGTGAGTCGAAACATCGCTGTCTGATATTGGATCACAAATACTTTGTTTATGGGTTGTGTTCTCAACCATGGAATGTTTCTTTGGAATAATGTCTATGACAGGTATCCGAAACAACAAAAGAAAGGCAAACATTGAAAACTATTACTTTCTTTGTCTAAATTCTTCTTGAAACACCTTCCACGATATTATTTCCTAATAATGCTCCACTTGTAAAACTTCAATATAATTTGTTCCCTTTCAACAAGTTGTAAGCTAATACAAGAAAAATATACTAATTCTCCTATAATTTGACTGGTATTGACGTCATGTTCATCTTGTTTTGATACAAACTTGTTATTTTCATTCTCAACTCATAAACCCACATAAAAATTAAGGACGGTTCAGAGAATTCAGATTACAAATTATTAGCAACGCTTGAGATATACTTACATCGAATAATGTCGAAAATCAAATCGTTTTATCTAATCAACCTAGTCGTGGAACGGGGGTTGATTTTTAAGGGTATTCATACATCAGATACACCAAGTTCAAAAACAGTAGCGATGTTGTCACTATAAGATTTCCATTCTCTGCCTAATGTGGAAGGATATGAAATAGAGGTGGGGAAAGGGAAAAGAAGCTATTCATTTTTTATAGATAAGTTGGTTATTTGCACATCAGCTCAATCCGTTAATAAAAAGTGTGCGTCTCAGAAGTGACACCTTTAATGAGTCGATATTATTTTGTATAAACGATGTAATATAGTTATGGAAAATTCGGTTGAACTTCAACATGAGAAAGATAATGAAATACCAAAACGGTCGAATTGATAGTGAATGCCTGGAGTTGAGCAACACATGTTGAGTAAAAATAGAAATACTATATAACGAAGATTAGAAACAGTTAATGATGTTGTCGAATTAGCCATTAATGAATAGATAATTACTACGTGTCTAGTTAAATGAAGAAGTTATTTGCCGGAATGCATGAAGTTCTTTATATATTTCTTTGGTCGATTTATTGGGTGTCTATGTTATCATAATTTACATAATTGTAATAAAAAGAGTAAAAACACGAAAGATAAAAATGTTCATCAAAGAATCGAGAAAATAGAAATCACAAATTCACATAACGTACAGTATCATATTATATTATATCTTCATTACTATTTAAATTTGGGGGAATTTAACAGAATAATGAACTCTCTAATCAATGTGATTCGGTGGAACTTTGGTTTTATCTCATCTGTGTTCAAACAATGATAATATAGAATTCAATTGTACTGAATACCATTTGAAAAAGTAATTTATAGCATAACGAAGATATCTAAAATAATAATGTTTCCTTTATTGAAACTATTCGTTCCCCACCTTCAGACTAATACATTGAAGTAAAAGATATTCGTCGTGAAGTTTTCAGTTCAGGAGTAGAAAAGAAAATGAAATCCACGTTGAAATATCGAAAAAAAAAATCCGAACTCCTACCCAGACAAGGGTTTGCCAACAGATTGGACGCATAGTCGCATGATCTAATGAATAGATAGTCTTATGCGTTACTACGAGAATAGACAAAAACATCCGGAACTTGTCACGTTCTCCGCCCAAAACCTACGGGATCATGTATCTTATCTTTGGCGGCTATAAAGCTTCTCCCCAGACTGATAACGTTGTGGTGGGAGTGACAGTTCTACCACCCGTTGGCGCGGCTGGAGAGAAGATTCGTATCATGACACCATTGGAGACAATCAAAACACGCAGGAAGCTCCACCGAATTAGGTCCCTGAAACCAAAAAAACTGGTTCGAAAGTTTGTGATGTTCTTACAGAAGTGGCTAACATCTGGCAAATTAACACCGCCGTGTATACAGAAATTCAATCGCTTTCCGAATCGGAAGGACGGAATCCCGGCCTGGCGGTTCGGAAAATTGAACGCCGGGTACACTAGATGGGGGTAAGATCAAGTTGTCGAGACAACACGCGTCTCGTATCCAATATGTGATGAATGATAGAACAGCCAACAGGCCTTTCAAGTCCGCAGTGCGGCGAAAAGCCACAAAATTAAGACGTATCCATCACACATGGTCGGTCGATAGCCCAGCGGTTCGACGTGGGTGCTTCACTCACTTGTTGGTCAGTGGTTCAAGCCCTAGTCTGAACGATCGATTTTCACTTGCTATCGTCCAACCCGTGTTATGAATCACACGTTAAAAGGTAAGACCTCGTTAATCCTCAGCTCGCACAAGTTTCTACTTCTGAGGGTTGTCGTTCGTAGAGGTCCGACAGCTGGTTAACAGAAAAACATATTTTTTTTTACCATTTTAAGTCAGCGTGTGCTGCTAACCACCAAGCAACACTGTCTTGATGAGATACGAATGCTAGTGGCCACTAAAAAGTCACTAGTTAGGTGAGCGAGAAGCATCGTGAAGTTCCGCGAGAAACCTCGCTTAATCCAACAGCTTCCGCGTGCTGTGATTATTTATACAGGGTGTTCCTTAAACACATGCTAATATTTAAGGAGGTAATTCTTAGACCCATTTTAAGGAAAAAACGTCGTATGGACATATGTCCTAAACGCCTTAACTTTTGAGATACAGGGTGGCAAAGTTTTCAAAAATAATCAGTTTTTAAATAATAACCGAGATAATTTTGTAGACATCTTTGGCATATTTGGTACATATGTTCCATTACAACCCGAAAACCGCGGATGACGTTGTAAGAACCCTTTGAGTTCTAAGAACTCTGATGATCCAGGTCCAGATGGGCTGAACATTCATTGGTGGAAAAAGACTATCAAGCACCCATCGCTATCTTACCAGAGCTCAATTTGCATTTGCTCAGATGCCTTGCGGTACGCGACAGAATACTGAGAAAGAAGCCTGGAATAACTGATTTCACTAAGGCGGACTCGTTTCACCATAACATCTGGCCATGCAAGAGTCCAAACAGGGTGGGTCAATTTCATAGTGATTTGTTGAGTCCCCTTCTTTCCTGCATCTCACTATTGCCATTATCCGTTGCGCTCATAAATACCGGAGGCATAAGGTCACCCATTTGTTTCATATAAATGATCTTAAACTTTATGCCTCAGTCCTTAAGGGTGATGGTACACGCATGCTATCGATATGAAATTTGAGATAGACAAATGTGCATCATCCTCTCAAAAGAAGACGATGTGGGGTATCATGGAGAGGATGTGCAGCTCGTAGATGGAAGCATCCTGCACCATCTGGATGCCGGACGTATACATACCTCGAGGTAAACAACGCCACTCACAAGAGGTAACAGCAGTAAAGAACTCTCTCCGCGGCAAGTATCAACACAAACCCAGACAAATTTGATCATCGAAACTATCCGGGAAAGCATAGATGCCGCTAAAACATGCTTGCTTTGAAGTGGACTCGGAAGGAAATGTATCAACTCGACGTATAGATCCGAAAAATGAAGCATCTTCATAGCAGTTTTGCATCCCAAATCGTCCGTATCACAGTTGTATTTTTCCCGACAACAAGGAGGCCGTGGACTTGGAGTATCTACATGACAAAATGGTACTGGGTTGCGCCTGTGGAGACATCAGGAGTGTCTTCATGACAATATGTGTCATCCAAAAAGAAGAGGAAAAACGGATGAAATTTCGAGGGTTTCTCTTCGAACTCCACAAACTTCATCCAGACCAGTCTGGAATGTATATTTTTTTATAATAGAAAAAAACATTTTTTTTTTTTTCAGCTGATGGAGTCACATACTGTTTCGGAATATTTTATGACGAATTCTTGGACTATTTCAAAGAAGGAAAATCAGCAACGTCATGGATTTTGTCTATTCTCGTAGGCGTAACGCTATGCTCAGGTGAGAAATCAAATTTGTTATAGTATAGAAGGCGCGTATGATAATTAAACGTTTCTATACGAGGTTGGTTCACTAATTTTGATTTTTGTTGCAGGTCCTCTGTCTAGTTATTTCGTTAACAGATATGGCTGTCGAATCGTCACCATAGCGGGTTCTATACTGTCGGCGATATGTCTCGTCGTGTCATTTTGGGCACCGAACGTGCTTACGTTGTATCTCACTATAGGCGTCGGCACCGGCATAGGTTTCGGGTTGATATATCTGCCAGCCATTGTGAGTGTGACGACTTACTTTGAGAAAAAGCGATCTTTGGCCACGGGCATAGCTGTGTGTGGATCGGGCTTCGGTACGTTCATTTTCGCTCCTATCATCAACAAGCTCTTGGCCGAATACGGTTGGAGAGGGTCCATCTTGATAATCGGCGCCATAGTTTTGGAATGTATACTATTTGGTTCGCTGTTTAGACCGTTAGAAGCGAAACGTAGCGAAGAAGACGATAAAGAGTTGAGAGCCACCGAAGCTAACATCGATATTCACGTGTCAGATCACGATTTACGCCAGTTTGGGACGAGTTTGAAAACTAACGGTGAGTTATTTGTCATTCATTAATTTCCAGAATTATACGTAAGATTTATTCTCCCACCAGTTACTGGCATAAAATCCTCATAGTCTAACTACTTGCATTCTCTTGGAAGAACGATTATGGAGAATAGAACAGTGGAAATTGAAAAAAAATGGTATCTGAAAAGTCTAAAATTGATTTTGAAGTTTTTAGTATTTAAGTGCTATCCAAGAAAATTTGTTCAAAACGTCTGATCTTCTAAAATATTGTTTTTTCATTAAGTTTGAATAGACATATTTTTTTAACTTCAAATTCACATTTTTCTCAAAGTTTTGATAGATGTACCTTTTATTTTGTATACTTTCATATAACATTTCGTTTCGATATATGATTTGGTAACGGGTGATTTAGTATAGGATTTGATTTTCGAAACAACACAAAAAATTTGAAAAAATTGAAATATTCATTAGAATCGATAGAACGATTAATATAATTTAATGTTTGAAGATGATTTCATGAAAATGTTGTCCGCGGCTCCGCTTCAGATGGCTCATGCGCAAGGTCCAATTTTGGCACACTTTCTCTAACATATCGACCGGTATTTCACGTATAAATGCCTCAATATTGGCTTCCAGAGCGCCAGTCATTGCCTAACATGACCCTACAAGAAATAATCCAAAGGTGTTAAATCACACAATCTAGTCGGCCAATTGACGGGCCCCAAACGTCCCAAACGTGAGATAAACTGTTCACAGAAGGCGGCTCTTAATTGGGCCATTGTTTCGCGTGCCATGTGGCATGTGGCACCATCTTCTTGAAACCACATGTCCGGCATGTCCAATTCTTCCATAGGAGAAACTTCA